ATTAATTACTGTGATGAAATCTCACAAAATATTTCGAGTTCATAAACTTTTTTATAAATTCTACGATGGATTTCACACAAAAGATGCAGATATGCCAAATCCTGCATCCTGAGAACCCTGCTCAGCTGATACCTGTCAGCTCTGTTCACCAGCCCAAAATCTTCGGAAGTCATCCAAGATGTTGCAGAACCGTTTACCATATTTTACTAATTTCTAAGTGATAAATTACCCGTTCCCAGTTGATTTCTGATCATTTTTCTTCGCGGAATTCTCCGATTTCGGTTTCTTTTCTACAGGTGCTCGTGAATTGCTACTAGCCGATTCATTATTCATTCGTTCCTGTTCATTTATACTCTAAAATTGTATATAAATTAAGACGGGGCTGAAGGAGGCATCAAAAGTATTGAGTTTAGCCTTTCTGGAAAAAATACTTCAATTCTGAGCGCTTTAATAAATTTCGTTTTTATTTTTTATCTCCTCCTTTATATTTCCTCTTTTCCACCACGTAAACTGAATTTAGCTCCCTAAATTTCTGGCAATTATCCCCGCGGGAGCGGTTTTCCACACTCTACTACACCGTTTCTCCTGGTATAATGAGGAGGCCAAAAAAATCTTACCCAAAAAATTCCAGAAAGTCAGCCGGAACTTAAAAACAGGCCAGAAATTTCTGTCATAAAGACGCGCAGAAAATAAGTAATATAATAAAATATATTGAAAAAATGTGAGAAAAAATAATGGAAAAAACCCAAGCACATTAGGGATCAATTACAGCACGTTCGATAAAAAAATTTTCGAAAAAAAAAAATGATGAGAGTTAAACATGTGCAGTGCGATTGATCCAGGTATTCCAAGTCATGTGAATTTCAAAATTTTAAGAAAACTGCTAACTTTTTTGAGAATCTGTGCTCTGTATTGGAGTTTCTCGTTTTCTTTCATAACTTGTGCAAGTTTTGGACAATGCTCCAACAGATCTTCACTTAAATCACCCACTTCCATGGCATGCACCAAATGCTGATAATTTTTTAATTTTGTTTTCTGAAAATATGTAAAAACTTATCGGGAATACCAAGGCCGGCTGGACAATCGGTGTGAGGGTACCACGGTCTCCTCCCTCTTTTTCCCCTTGCATACGGTCCCTCCTCTCCCTCCCACCTCTTTTTCCCACTTAAATCCCTTAGATACTAAACTGCACACCTCCAGTTGGTACCCACAGTTTCTTCAAAGTATGTGCACTATCCTCAAAGTAAAATTCACAAAAATTATGAAAATATAAAAGGTGTTTCTTAAAAAAAAACACGCATTAACACGATTATTGGAGATTTACCAGCGAAAAAATACACATTTTGCCGTAGATTCGTCTGCGCTATAAGACTCTCAGTGTAGAAATCCGGTGTTATCGAGAGATAATGGGACTGTTACTGAGGAATTCTTGATATTATCGAGATTTAATTAACAGGATTATCGTGTGAGACTTGTCGATGTTACCAAGATTTATTACATCCGGACTGTACGTGTGGGATTTTTGATATTACTGGAATGCGATCATGCAGAATATCGCTGTGAAATGCTCGATATTATTAAGATATAAATACCCAAGCTAAAAGTGTGGAATTCTCGATGCTGATTGTAAACGATCACCTGAATTATCGTCATGTGTGTGTGTATGTGTGGTGTGTCTGTATGTACGTATGTATGTGTTTGTGTGTGGTTGTTTATGTATGTATGTGTATGTAAGTGTGTGGGTGTGTGTATGTGTTGAAGCTTTCGATGACAGCAAGTGGGGC